AGTTCCCAGACTCTCCACACCCTCCGGTGGCACCATCAGTATCAAGGAAATGATTCCATTGAACAGCATTTCAACCTCTGAAACATCGGTACATGGGAAACATGTGGCAGTGGTTGAACAGGAACATGAACACAAAACGATTTTACTAGTGCTTCACTACACTTTCTTTATCATGTAAGTGAGCTGAAAAAAGTGTCTCTCCATTTAAAGAGAGAACCTTGGATACTCACAGTTGGTGTTGCATTATTGAGTTTTCATATCAACATAACGCTGACAAGAAATTTTCATAATGCAGATGTATTAGTATATTGGCCAACAGGATATCCATTAATCTAGGACATCCTAGGACACGGTAGGATAGGAACATGCCCAACCCACACCTAAAAGCTTGGATGATACCTTTAATTTCAGTGAAACTGGCTGCGGCTAGTGGGCACAAGTAAATTTCTATACCTGCAATGGTTGCTTACCAGTGTTTTACATTTGGCTTTGATATTGATTGGGACTATTTCTACTTATTTCAGTCTCTCTGCCAACCAATTGCTGTTTTCATAACACTTCACATTGTTGATCAGTAATTGTCCAGAAATACGGTCATAATAGAAAATTCTAGAAAATTATGTATCTGCCATAACATTGTTTAAGTTAAAGTTGACATTCAAAACTGTTGGCTTTTGTGAATTTTCATTCTAATTTCCGAACCAACAGATCCTCATAGCTTTTACCATTATGTACCATACTGAGAGATAGATAACACATCTACAAATAAAACAGATAGCATCTTACCACCATCAGTTTGAATTTCTTTCCAACATATCGTGCTTGCTTCAACCACATTCTTCAAATCTGTTAGGATTCCACTTTCCGAGTTTTCTTCACAAATTTCTGCCCCAAGAGACTTAAGATAGCTTCTTAACTCTGAAGTCTGGAAACAAATTGTGGAACAAACATGATTAATACATAGCTATCACCAGATCAATTACCATACCAACTGTAGTGCTTTCAATAATCATAAAATGTAAATAACACAGGTAACTAGTAATTCTCACAGAACATAAAAGTAAGATAAGTACTTTGCCATATTCAATTTGTTTATCGTCAAATTGTAACTGGGGTACTAAACCATGTAAACAAATATCAATATATATGTCAAGTTTTACCATGTTTACTGTCTCATCAATCTTTATGCAATCTTATTTACACACATCACATCATAGAAACCAATTTGTAAAACTTAACACTTGTGAAAAGTGTTACCCTTTATCATTAAAGTTTGGTTCCATTTTCTCAAAATTAGTTGGGCACATTTTACAAGGGAACAATTGCCCATGCACCCAACTTAACCAGTAGCATGTAGAGGATTCAATGACAGTTGGTCAAGGAGACAAATTTGTGACAAAGTTAGAAAACATGTACTGACAAGTTCCTTGTCATGTTGCCGAGTTTCTTTAATCAGGTAAAATAAATATCATGAAATGATAAATGAACTTAACAACAAATAACAAATTACAACATACACATTATTTTGGTAGCTCCAAAACTTTGGTTAAATTCTCCTTATTGGTTGGGTACATTTTTTAATGGGAGCATTTCCGGGCTATACTATGTTTTCGGGGGAACTATGTTTTTGGGGTATGTCCTTTTCCAGTAATCTCTCACATACAGTGAGATGACAGCGCCACCTGAAAACACCGTTTCCAGTGCAGAAGCTTCCGAGGCAACCGGGACACAAAATGTTTGAAATATCCAGATTTCACGTAAGTTGTGACCCTAAATTTCTGTCAAAGTACTAAAATTCTACCCTAGAACGTAATGCACTTTCAGAACCTTCATAAATGTGATCATAACTTTTGAAATAAAGCTCATAACTTGTCAAGCGGACCATCGTCTGCTAGAGTGAAAAGCCAAGCATAAACATCACGTGACTCTAATGAAATGTTCCTGACGTAATAAAAAAACTATGGAAGACCGAATTGGTCATCTCTTACATATTTTTTTTTTCTGTGTTGCAGAATTCGTCTCGGCTTGTGACCACTGGGTTCATTTAAAATACTGCTACAATGTCACTGTACTGCGCAGGAATGGCGTGTTTTATTGTCCCTGCCATGCAGACAAGAAGAATGAATGTGCACATGATTGAATAACTTACCTGTAAATATGTTTATTTTTAACAATTTTCACAAAAAAACAACACTCAAATAATCAAATGAAAAATGACCAGTCTGCTTGACTTTTTATTAAAATGCCACGCTGTATTTGTTGACTTCTTGGGAGAAGAATGCATCACCTGGGCTTCCATACAAGGTCGTGACCCACGCTATAACGAGTAACCCGAAAACATGGTACGTCCCTTCTCCCGCTGGCGGACAGACACGAAATGTTCGGTGCATTGGAAACCAGCGGATGTCAGAACATTCTGACAATAAATTTATAAAATGTGAGATGATATTTAATTAATTAGGCCTACCTTTAGAATACAGCACCACAAACTTTAAAAATATCGGCCATAATACCCTTTTACGTTAATGTAATGTGATTTTGTTCTCGAAGCACGCTCTCTAAACAATGCCTTATGACGCCTGCATGGCAACACGGTTGTCTGGCTCAGCGAGGGCTTATAAGCTCCGGCCACTGGTGTTTCATCTCTACTGAGCTATGTCATTGCATAAGCCCAACGATGTTGAGAGTTTCCAGTAGTTGTATAATCGGGCGGATGCGCAATATTTTGCAAGCACCAGTTTGAAATATTTTTCTTTTCACTAATACGCTCATATTTATTTGTATTATGGCCGCTGAGGTGTTATGTTTTGTGTATTTTGTATTTTTTAATTTTTAAATTTACATATATATATTTGTCATTCAGTAATTTGCACCATTACATAGAAAAGTGTTTTATTAGTATTTTATTTTTCGAAGCGGTAATAATGCATTACACTAGACACGCCAGTCGTGGTTTATACCGGTTCGGTCAATGCATTCTATTTATTAGGATTAATTCAAGGGATTGGGGTTAGGCTAGGGCTAGGGCTAGGACTAGGACTAGGACTAGGGTTAGGGTTTAGGTTTAGGGTTGGGGTTGGGGACCTAATGCAATATATAGTAGGTACATGTCCGGTGGTTCGGTCAATGCATTCTATTTATTAGGATTATTTCAAGTGGTTAGGGTTAGGGTTAGGGCTGAGGGTTTAGGGTTAGGGTTTAGGTTAGGGTTAGGGTTAGGGACCTAATCCAATATAGCAGGTACATGACCGGTGTAATAATGCGGAGTACCATTTGTTGTTTTTCCTTTTTGCATTTTAATACTTTTATTTCACACAAAAACGGGAAACCAAAAACGTCGAAAGTACATTATGAAATGGGTTAATGTAGACATTTTGGGCTAATGGAAATTGGTCTGGAATTTGCACTCAAGCCTCTTTCACACGCAACATAAATTTTGTAAAGTAATGATTCAAGGCTAACTCACCCGCGGCCGCCACTACACATGCTCATGTCTCCCTCGCTCCTTAGTGCGCGATCCACATTATCCTTACAGTGTTCCCTACATCACTTTTCTGTCACAAAATCACCGATTTATATAAAAGCGCCATTCATGCATGCACCGCGGAAATCTACGCCTGACGCCTTGACGCCAACAACCCTTTTCAGTTTGAGGCATATCGGCTCATTCCACGCCACACGCTAATTTGTAGATTACGGAATGGGACGAAAGTGTGCCAAATGGCATCGGATCCATTCGCAATTGTCCGAGAATAAAATCACGAGACACCAAGTCTACCCGTAGCATTCGTGAATTGTCCGCGTGACCTATTCGACTCTTTCCGCTCATTTCGCGGACGCCACAGGAATGACTCGATAAATTTGCACATTGTGCAACAGTGTGGACGTAGCTCAGTCGGTTAGCTGTCGAAGCTAACAACCGAAGGTCGGTTCAAGGCCCGACGGGTTCTCACAAACTGGTTGCTTGTCTTAATGACACGCGGACTCCACGGCAGAGATCGCCCTCACACAGAAGTTGTGGTGCTGTATTCTAAAGGTGCTCCCCGAATTACAGTTTTGATAATCTACTGATCAGCAATAATTTACATGATCATCTTTTGCGTTATTACCCCGAAAACATGTTACACCATGGTGCTCTTGCACACAAATCGGCATTGGTCAAGCATTCTATAATGGATGCTTTGTCAAGAAAGATTATGTTTTTTAACCATAGAGTATCATACGAATTGTTACTAAGGAAATCATAGTGTGACAAATGTAAATTGGTCATCTCTAAAGAATTACATACTTCAGAGAGTATTAAACATGTTGAAGTTGATAACATATGTTGGCTGTTTCCGTTTCAACAATCACGGTAAATGAGTCATAAATATGATGTCTCCAACTTTCAATACTAAGAAAAATAATTTCACTCAAATACCCAACCTTAATATCAATTGTTCCATATCCACTTACGTGAACTGAACCCATATGTTGAAATTATTATTTTGCAAAAACAATTTCACATGAAATTACAACAACCATGAAGCACCACGGTTTTTTTGCAAAATTACACCTCAAGTTTATCATGTTAACTAAAGTGTTTCAGTATCAAAACTGTGACACCATTTCATTCCATTGCGTATGCCGTTTTACACGGCATTTCGTCAGTTTCTTTACCACGAATTTAGGTGACACAACAACACGTGAGCACCATATGGACACGCATTTGGTCTAAATACTTCTTCAGCTGGACTCTTATTATGGAATTATTTTGCTGTTCGGGTAAATTGTGTAACTACACATTTCTTTAAGAATTTATTTACAGTTACAAACGTGAATTTACCTGTTCAGGGACCGCTATATCTATGAATACCGGCGTACTCATTTTCCTTCTGAAAGAATATGGCGAAGCTGTGCGATACACCAATGCTGATTGGATTAGAAGAACCAATAGCCACTCGCAATACAATTTCTCGTTCAGTTCGTAGTATAAGAAGCGCGCACAACTGTTCCGACAGCTCGCTACAGTACTACTGCCGGTTTCATCATCGCGTGGAATAGGGTGACAATGTCTGAAGTTGCTGGTAAGTTACAGCAGTTTATATAAATTCTAATCGCTCACAAGTAGAATACATGTGAGTTGTTAGGAGAACATATAATGTTGATTCTATCACATATACATTTATGACTGACAACTTCGGTTTGTGTTAGTAATACCGAATCGGCGATCGGCTTTAAATGAAGATTGTCACATCGTCCAGGTCAGGTTTATTTACAGATGTACAGTTGGCAAGATTGTCAGCCGAGGGAACAAAATCTGTCGTCAACATATTACATGAACTTTGACATGACACTCAAGTATTCATGTTTGCTGTATGAAACAACAACAGCTATTCACTCTATCATAGACATTTTGTAGTACATGTTCTCATCCTCCTGAAGCTGTTGGGACACACTTAGCTGTCGCGATGCTTACAAATCCATCAGCAAAAACGAGTGAAATGGTTGTCATAATATGAAAACACACATTGTTGAATGTATATGTTTAGCAGTTTCTTGTATGTCATACATCTTATGCTTGTTGCAATGCCACGAGGCAAGTTACTTGTTTTAGGTTGAAAATACAACCTACTATCTCATAAATAACTTACTTCAAATATATGTGTGGGATAGACCTGTGTAACGTAAAACTTGTTCACAAAAAAACAACATAATCTGTCATTGTGAGTGACATCTTCATGACATAGTTCACCCCAAAATTATTAATAACTGGAATAGAAGTTTTGCTGTTGTGCAAGGAAATCAAGTTTGCAAGACTACAATGTTGCCAACCCCTTATTTAAGACATTCAGAGGTTACACTGGAGTGGGTTGTCCTTAGAATTTTATGTTGAAATTGAGACTTTATCTGCTTGTGTATGACTGTTAAAACATAAATATAAACTTGTAACTCTCAACTCAGAAGAAATACTCCCCGTGATTTAATATAGGTGATATTTGGTTACATAATGTGTGATCCTTACAGTTTTGTACTGATTGTCATCAGTATGCTTCATAGAACAGAATTTGTCGGAATATCCCTGTCCATAGTTTTGGTTGACATGTCATCATGGTCATGATTACATTTCGAGATGTTCAATTGCCTTTGAATGCATATAAGTTGTGTTTGTTTCTTGTTTTACATAGCACTCAGAAACATTTCAGTAACACGAAGGTCACCTGTAAATCATAGAAATCTGGACCAGATAATACAGTGGTTGATAATGTGGACAGTGGTGTATGCCTTTCACACAATCATCCAAGTCACAGAGTCTGGCCACTTGTCCACTTGTTGCCTCTGGTGACCAGCACCTGCGAAGACCTGGGTGAGAATTTGTCCCCAGTAGTGTGTGAGTTTGGTTTTATGCACTTTTAACAATATTCCAGCAATATCACTGTGGAGTGGGATATTGGTGTGATGACAGGTGGGATACTGGAGTGATGACACCTGAAATGGTCTTCACACATTGTACCTATGTGGGGAATCGAACCTGGGTCTTTGACGTGAAGAGCAAATGCTTTAACCACTAGGCTACTCTACTGCCCTCTGTCCTCAGTAAGCCATACTTGTAATAAGAAGTGATTAACAGCATCAGGTCATCAAACTTCCTCGATTGGTTGATGCATGTCATCATGTCCTTTTTGAGTAGATTGATTCTGATGATGTCATCGAGTGAATTGTTAGGTCCAGACTCTATTATTTACAGCTTTCGTATAGTTAGAGTGAGTGACTTTTGTTTTACACCGCATATAGCAATATTCCAGCAATATCACGGCAGGGGACACCAGAAATGGGCTTCACACATTGTAACCGTGTGGGAAATTGAACCCAGGTCTTCGGTGTGACAAGCTCGAATGCTTTAACCACTAGGCTACCCCACCGCCCCTGGTATAGTTGGAAGAGAGTGGCATTAAACAACAAAGGAACAAAATGGTATGGCCAGCATGGACTGCTGTTGAAACTTGGGATCCTTTGGTGTATCTGTGTGTGTGTGTGACGAAGACATGATATTTGTTAATATATACTTAGCTGTTACTGCCTCTTGGATCTTGGAGCATAAATAATCCAGTGATAAACAGCAGCCAGTCTGTGACATTGGCATTTAACCATAAATTGTTGTTAAAGTTAAAAAAACTTAAAAACTTAATGGGCGATGTCTTGATTAAAGTTTCAGTGAGAGCTTGTAGGATTGTCATATGTGATGTAATGTTTCACAACTGTGATGTTTAGAACACAATGACACATACAGATAAATTAAAGCACATCCAAGATGTTGTGCAGTTATGAAATATGTTCAACCAAATCAGAATCCATGTCATTTGTATCAGATGATGCCTTTAGGATTCTTTGTTTAAAATTATCCCATAGAAATGGATGAGGTGGTCAGGTTTGGTAACTGGGTTGAGTATGTTTCATCAAACCTGGCTTGTTGCTCATAATATTGACCACTGGGTTATCTAGTCTAAGCCTAAGTATTCAAAGGCTGCCTTCATACAGCTGGAATGTTGCTGAGTAGGGCATAAAAGAAATAAGATATGTCCAGGGAAGGTTTAATCGTGTTTAAACTGGAGTTGTCTCCCCATTGACCATAAAGTGGCAGAAAGCCCTGCCTTTTCTTGGGTGAAAATCATAGGTGAAGAGTACAAATTAAGTGAATTAGGGACACTGGAGTGATGACATGAGATTGAGTGATGACAGGTGGCATGACTGGAGTTATGACAGATGATGAATATCAGAATGGAGGAAGCCTGATTATGACAGGTGAGATAATGGAGTGATTGACAGGTGTGATGACATGTGAGTGGGAATAATGGAGTAATAATAATGATGCTTGCAAATAAGATACTGGAGTGATGACAGGTGAGGATACTGGAGTGATGACAGGTGGGATACTGGAGTGATGACAGGTGAGATACTGGAGACAGGTGAGATATTGGAGTGATGAGATGAGACTGGAGTGATGACTGAGAGTGATGACAGATGGGATACTGGGTATTGACAGGTGAGATACTGGAAGTTGATGATGACAGGTGATGAAGTGATGACAAAGTGGGATACTGGATACTGGAGTGATGACAGGTGAGATACTGGAGATGATGACAGGTGAGATACTGAGTGATGATAGGTGAGATACTGGAGTGATGACAGGTGAGATACTGGAGAGTGATGATAGGTGAGATACTAGAGTGATGATAGGTGAGATACTGGAGTGATGATAGGTGAGATACTGGAGTGATGACAGGTGAGATACTGGAGTGATGATAGGTGAGATACTGGAGTGATGACAGGTGAGATACTGGAGTGATGACAGGTGAGATACTGGAGTGATGACAGGTGAGATACTGGAGTGATGACAGGTGAGATACTGGAGTGATGACAGGTGAGATACTGGAGTGATGATAGGTGAGATACTGGAGTGATGACAGGTGAGATACTGGAATGATGACAGGTGAGATAATGGAGTGATGACAGGTGAGATACTGGAGTGATGACAGGTGAGATACTGGAGTGATGATGACAGGTGAGATTATGGAGTGATGACAGGTGAGGATAATGGAGTGATGACAGGTGAGCTGAGACACTGGAGTGATGACAGAGTGGAGATACTGGAGTGATGACAAGTGAGATACATGGAGTGATGACAGGTGAGTGGGATGACAGGTGGGATACTGAAGTGATGACAAAGGTGAGGATATGGATACTGGAGTGATGACAGATACTGGAGTGATGACAGGTGACATATTGGATGAGGATGACAGTGATGACAGGTGGGATGAGATACTGGAGGATGACAGGAGGATGACCAGTGATGACATGTGGGATATTGGAGGATGTGATGACAGGTGAGATACTGGAGTGATGACAGGTGGGATGACAGTGAGAGTGACAAGGTGAGATACTGGAGTGATGACAGGTGGGATATTGAGTGATGACAGAGTGAGATACTGGAGTGATGACAGGTGAGATACTGGAGTGATGACAGGTGAGATACTGGAGTGATGACAGGTGACAGGGAGATACTGGAGTGATGACAGGTGGGATACTGAAGTGATGACAGGTGAGATACTGGAGTGATGACAGGTGAGATGGAGTGATGACAGGTGAGTGATGACAGATGATACTGGAGTGATGAGGTGAGATACTGGAGTGATGACAGGTGGGATACTGGAGTGATGACAGGTGAGATACTGGAGTGATGACAGGTGGGATACTGGAGTGATGACAGGTGGGATACTGGAGTGATGACAGGTGAGATACTGGAGTGATGACAGGTGAGATACTGGAGTGATGACAGGTGAGATACTGGAGTGATGACAGGTGGGATACTGGAGTGATGACAGATGAGATACTGGAGTGATGACACTGGAGGTGAGATACTGGAGTGATGACAGGTGAGATACTGGAGTGATGACAGGTGGGATACTGGAGTGATGACAGGTGGGATACTGGAGTGATGACAGGTGAGATACTGGAGTGATGACAGGTGAGATACTGGAGTGATGTGATGATACTGGAGTGATGATAGGTGATACTGGAGTGATGACATGATGACAGGTGAGATACTGGAGTGATGAGGTGAGATACTGGAGTGATGACAGTGATACTGGAGTGATGACAGGTGAGATACTGGAGTGATGACAGGTGAGATACTGGGTGATGACAGGTGGGATACTGAAGTGATGATGGTGAGATACTGGAGTGATGACAGGTGAGATACTGGAGTGATGACAGGTGAGATACTGGAGTGATGACAGGTGAGATACTGGAGTGATGACAGGTGAGATACTGGAGTGATGACAGGTGGTATGATACTGATGACAGATGAGATACTGGAGTGATGACAGGTGAGATACTGGAGTGATGACAGGTGAGATACTACTGAGTGATGACAGGTGAGATACTGGAGTGATGATAGGTGGAGATGACTGGAGTGATGATAGGTGAGATACTGGAGTGATGACAGGTGAGATACTGGACTGATGATAGGTGAGATAATGGAGTGATGATGACAGGTGAGATACTGGAGTGATGACAGGTGAGATAC